CCTTGTAACGAACACAATCGCGAAGTACGGCATCGTAGACCCCGATATCTACAACTTTAATGAGACTGGGTTTATGATAGGCCAGATTACATCCGGAATAGTTGTCACGAGTGCTGAAAGGCGTTCAAACACGAAAATGACGCAGCCTAGCAATCGTGAATAGGTTACAGTTATTCAAGCCATCAGTTCGTTAAGCTACAGCGTTCCGCCGTACATCATCGTCGCAGGCCAATATCACCTCTCCACCTGGTACACAGAAACAGGTCTCCCACGCGACTAGGTCATTACAACGTCTGAAAACGGATGGACAACAAATGAAAGAGGCCTAGACTAGCTCTAGTACTTTGATCGGCATACAAAACCGCGTACAACTAGTAGATATCGCCTCCTCGTCGTTAATAGGCATGAAAGTCACCACTCTACAGACTTTGAGATATATTGCAAGGAAAACAATATCATCATACTCTATATGCCGGCCCATTCGTCTCATCTACTTCAGCCCTTAGACATTGGGTGTTTTAGGCCACTAAAGACGGCTTATAGTCGACAAATTAAGGATAAGATGCGCCGGGGTAATACGTATATTACAAAAGAGGACTTCTTCCCTGCATTTCGCAACGCTTTCACGCAAGCCCTAACGGTAAAAAACATCCAGGGAGGCTTCAGAGGGGCTGGGCTTGTTCCGTTAAGTGCTGAAAGTATGCTTTCGAAGCTAGATATAAAGTTACACACTCCAACGCCCCCAGGGTCTCTCCCAGCAACACCCCCAGCGTAGACTTCTCAGATACTAAACAACCCAACAAAGGCAAATTCTCAGTCAACTTTAATTAAAGATCGAATCTTAAATCATCAAAATAGCTCGCCAACACTAACTAATAACGTAGTTAACCATATCCTTAAAGGGACGCTAGCTATGATACATCGTAATACTCTTCTAGAGGCTAAGAATAAAAACCTTTAGGAGGAGAATAATCTACTTAGCCGACGGCAGAGATCTAAGAAAACTCGTCTCAGGTAAGGAGGGAGCCTTACTATAGCTGAGGCAGATGACCTTCAATCATAGAGAGAGGCTACAGCTCAGATTAAAGAGGAAATACGCCGGAGTAGTGGCCGTCGGCCGAGGACGGAAATAAGTCAACGGCGATATGGCGTCTGCGGGAACACTGGACATAATGCGCGCACATATCCATTTCAGAGAGAAATGTCTAGAGAAGAGGATTATGGGTAGTTTCAATTAATTAAACTTTGTTGATGTTGATCAAGATTTACATACGTGGAGTGGTTGCTGTCGAGCGATCCGCTCGCTTATCATGCACGTTAGTTTCAAGCTGTTTTTTTGTTGGAGTTTAGTTCGGGAATTGGAAAGCCCAGAAACTATGATTAAGACGAGGCCATCTACTGACAGAAAACTTAATTGACATGGGAGAGTGTAATTCCAGACTTTCACTTCAATCTGGGTCAGGCATGCATGTTATCTGTATCAATTGCTAGTCACAATGTTCTATAGGTCTAATAGAGAAGTGATTGTCAATCACATCCCTCCAAAGGGAAAGAAGCCCTAGATGTTTGTTGCTCAACGGCGATTGCGTTGAGGTTACTGTTGCCATTGATACTCAGAGCGTGAACAATGATAGTGATAATTTCAGCCAAGAAGTTGTAACGTCGACTAGAATCCACAATACGCTCATGGATACAAATCAAATCTCGATAATGACAAGACATGTGCGCTGCGACGGACCTTGACGTAAGGTATCACTCTTACACACGACCTTTGAGTACTTGTGCAGTCGAAGAAGAAAGTGGGGAAAGTAAGGTACTGTCAAGTGACATCCTGGTGAATGCGATGCAATGTTTCATAAATCAATGACGAAGGCGATATTAAAGCGCAAGTGGTAAGCATAAATGACGGCCTTTCGGCCGTAGGTGATGACCGGCGGGGGTGGGGGGCAGATTCCGGAGCATCCTGAAATGGGTCCGGAGGAACATAATGTCGCACCGGATTGGGTGGGAGCCGACATGAGCACTTGGGAGATGACTTCGATCAGATTTTGTTCCTGAGTGGAGATAAGAAGCCAGGCAATGCCTGTATATTGTTATTACCCTAAGCTGCAAAGATTGGATCTTCTTACAGATCATACACTTACGAAGCGCCGGCCGTTGTGATCCCCTGGATCAAGGGCTAGTCTACTAGAATACAGTCAATCGCTGTATATGATGGCAAGGTAGGCAGACATGAATTAGAAGATTTTTGAATGCCAATATTCATCCAAAGCTATGCACGGCAACTTGATCCACCTCTTCCAGTGACGATTCACCGGATGACATAGTGTGCCAGGCCTGAGACACCGGAGGATCCTCTGCCCCGCAGGTTGTGATGTGCCGGTGCAAAGTGAGGAGAAGTTCTGAGCTAAGATTCTCCGACTTCCCCACAAAGACTAGAGCAGTGTAATATCCATCCAAGCTCAACATGAGGTAGATGAAACCCTTGGGACGGTGCACTATATTCCAGTAATTCCTACTAAGTCTCCGGGGGTAGGGTATATATGGTTCATCACCCAACGACCTACGCCACACAATTAAATCGCATTCTTCACTTACACCCGTTTTCAAAATTGACCATGCTATCCATCGATTCTCATCATGCTGCACTTGGGCTCGTATTTATCCTACTCATCTTCTTCGCCAACTCACTGCGAGTAGCTTTCCGCACCGGCCTCAGTAAAGTCCCAGGGCCCTTTGTCGCTAGATTTACTCCGCTATGGCGCGTATTCTTCGTCTGGAAGGGCAACGCCCATACAGACTACCGTAAACTTCACGAGAAGTATGGGCCAGTCGTTCGAACTGCACCCAACGTGGTGGACATCTCTGATCCGGCAGTTCTGCAAATCATCTACGGCATAACTTCTAAATTCATCAAGGTATGCGCAAATGAAAGATGAACCCAAGCGATATGAACTAACACTGGCGGCTTACAGTCCAACTTCTACAACACCCTGGACTTTATGTACGAGGACGAGTTTATGCCCGGCATGTTCACGGCGACCAACCCCGAGTTGCACAAAGCTCTTAAGCGACCAGTGGCCCAAAAGTACTCCATGACGTCCATCCGAACCCTCGAGTATCTGGTGGATCCCTGCACGCAAATGTTCACGGATGCCATGGCCGACATGCAGGGCCAGGTGGTCGACCTGGGCACCTGGGTACAGTGGTATGCGTTCGACGTCATCGGCGCTATCACGTTCTCCCGCCGCTTTGGGTTCATGGAGACTCGTTCCGATGTCAATGATGTCATCTCTGGAATCGAGAAAGGGCTAAAGTACGCCGGTCTCGTTGGGCAGGTGCCCGTCTTGCACAAATATCTATTGGGCAACGTGACGTTAAGGAATATCCTGGCCAAAATCGGAATGAATGATCCGTTGCCTATAGTTCAGAATGTGAGTATGAAAAACATGCGTTATTCTTCATTCTTCGGGTCGAGTCAAGCTGACTAGATGTAGATGGTAATGGAGAGCCTCGGAGACTACGATGCCAAACAAGATTCTTCTGAGCGAGGGGACTTCCTGGCGTATCTTCGACGAGAACAAGCGTCGACTGGCGAACATATGAGTACTCGAGACATGATGAATCACTTGATGAACAACCTGTAAGAAAGAAAGAATGTCTCACAAAGTAGCGTGTACTGACTATTGACCAAACAAGGCTGGCCGGCAGTGACACGACTGGTATCGCTCTCCGAGCTCTTTTCTACTATGTCTTGCGCGACAAGCGGGTATATGATATTCTGCAGAAGGAGATCGACGAAGCACAGGCAAGAGGAGAACTCTCACCCGTTGTTACTTTTGGTGAGAGCCAGAAGCTCGAATACCTGTGAGTCTTTCCCTCCACCTGAGCCTAAACGACTCGCTCTAATGAACTGATGCAACACACAGCCAGGCATGCGTCAAAGAATCGATGCGGATGCACCCGGGAGTATCTTACCCCCTCGAACGCATCGTTCCCGAGGCCGGCGCCGAAATCTCTGGGTTTCACCTACCGGCCGGCACCATCGTAGGCATGAACGCCGCCGTAATCCATCGCGACCGGAGCATCTTTGGCGATGACGCCGATACGTTCAGGCCTGAGCGCTGGCTCAGTGATGATGTCGAAGCCGTCAAGACGATGGAGCGACATAACATGAGTGTACGTGTGAATCTTCTGATTAAGTCGAGACCATCTCGAAGGAATGTGCTGACTGTTTGCTTCGATATCTGTAGTTCGGGGCTGGTGTTCGTACTTGCATCGGCAAGAATATCTCAATCATGGAAGTTGGAAAGGTGGTGCCTCAGATATTAAGGCGGTTCAGTCTTGAATGGGCTTCGAGCGAGCCGGAGTGGCAGGTAGCGACGTTCTGGTTCGCGAAGCAGTCGGGTCTGCTGGTTCGCTTTAGCCCGCGGACGCCGGAGATCAGAGCTAGCAAGGAATAAGGCAGTGGCTGGTCATGATGTATTGTATTCATGTGCGGATGCACATCTAGCAATTCTTTTGAATACTAATATGCGTTGCTATGTAAGCTCTGACGAAGTTTCGTTGGGGTAGCACTGAGTTTAGAGAAGGTCCGAGTATTCTTGTGTACTAAGTAATTCGGCGTAGCTCGATCGTAGACTTCGTTGTGGATGAATGTTGTTCACCCAGAGTCGAAACCGTTGCAACTAAAGTGGATTGTTTGATTATCATAAGTCATTTCACTGCAGAAAATCCCGGGCCGCTCCTAATTGCCGAGGCCGAAACATAGACGTCAGAGTGCGAGGAAGTACGAGAGCCCCATGAAGATCTCCCGGCATCTCCACTAGCTATCCCGCAAAGAAACGGGATTCCTAAGCCTATTCGAGCCCTCTGCATATGTCCCGCTGGCTGCAGCACGAAACGCCGTCTCCGTCTACATACACCGTTGTAAGCAACTTCGACTTCTGGGCTTTCTTTTTGTCTTTTGCCAGAAAGGCTATTCCTAAGTTCACGTTGTACACTGCCGGCTTTCTTCTTACCACGTGGGGTTACGATTCGGGGTATCATTGAGCTATCCGATGCCAATCGCTACCGGGCTCTCGGATCGTGATGTCTTCTGAGTCGCCTCGGATCCCGACGGCTACCCATCTTATCGCAGCCAATGGCTTGAGTCCTCCGGGGTCAGATGAGGCAAAGCTGCGTGTCTGTGACCACTGTAGAATGTTCGTCCCCATCAATCCATTGACTCGCTTCCGACTGCCCCATCAGAAGGAGGCTCCTGAACTGACATTACTCCCACAGAAAGAAAACAAAATGTAAGAGGTTGAGCTGCTCAGCAACTGTGGTCTTTCTCCCACAACATAGCATTGCTAACCGCGTGAACTTGGAATAGGTGACCAAGTTCGTCCTGCTTGTGGAAACTGCCGCACGCGTCGCATAGGTTGTTCGTATACCAAACGAAGAAGAAAACCAGGTAATTGTGCTGCACAGAGTTTCGCTTCGATTTTTTTCCCTAATACGTATTGCGGCGTATCCTAGGACCTCCCAAGGGATGTACAAAAAGACCCAAACACTCGACTGCTGATGGGTCGACCACCTCTTCAGAGCGCAGCTCAAGTGGTCGAGCCCGGGACACTACGCTATGCACCGACGGCTTGGGCTCTGCACCATCTAGAGCTTCGAATCGAATTAGCTCTATTGATGATGTGCCCCTCCTGTCTTGGTCTGAAAATGACTTGGGAAGGCTGCTATCATACGGTCCAAATGTCAGCCTCGAGATGGAAACTTACCTGTGAGTGACCGGCATCTATCCTTGGGGCAAAGAGACGTGAGAAACCAGTGACTAACGAAGCGCTCAAAGACTGAATCTTTACTTCAAACACATCCAGCCAAACTACCAATTATTCGAGCCTTGTCCAGACAGGCGACTCAGAAACGCGATCCACATGTCACCACGTCTCAAAATGGCACTGTTCGCTGTGTCATCACGATTCGCTACCCCAGGGGTCATGCCATGGTCACCAGAAGACTTTGCTCAACGAGCTAAAAGTCTTTCAAACGACTCGGAGCTCAGCGTCGACGAACTGAAAGCGTCTTTCCTCCTGTGCCTTCACGCCATGTCTGACTCCTTTACGTGGAGAACTGTCACCGAAACCACCAAGATCACTAGGATGGCTGATCTGTATTACACGATGCACCTCGGAGGAAAGCGTAATCGGTCGGGGTCGGTCTTCTATCTCGGCAGCGATGAGGACCCAGGCAGCGGGGGCAGACTGTCAGCGAGCCGAAAAAGCGAAGTAGAGGACTTTGATGCTGAGATGGAGGAGTGGAACAGGGTATGGTGGTGTATCTACCGCCTCGACTCCTGCTGCTGTGCCTTCATGTAAGTTCAAGTTGGGCATAGCTGGAAAGCTGACTCTCCTGTGCTGATATGGAGAAACCGCAGGGTATCGCCAAACCCGATCTCAAGCCGCCTCGAAGAGAAGATCAAGTTCCCTTCCGAATCGCTCACCGAGTCCGGATTACAGCCAGGATTCAACTCAGAACAAGACCGGGACCTGTTCCGGCACGGGTCAAAGCATCCAAAGCACTGGCAAATGATGAGGGCCAAGTTTTCCCAGCCGGATTGCACGAACCAGAGCCTCTATCTCGGCGTGTGCTCCTTTGTGAGATCTGTCACAGAACTCAGGTCTCTAGCAAAGTCCGGCCGCGGCCGAGGCTTGGAGAACCGCCTTCGGGAGCTCGAGAGCGATAGCGCAGCCACGGCATTTGCGCTGCCTTCGTGGTACTTTCAGCCTGTGAGGAATGTGAGCATCGGAGAGACGGGGGAAGATCATGCGTGTCGGCTGAAGAACTTGCTTGTCTGGTCCTGGTAAGATTGTGATCTCGCTCGATGTCATGCCGCATGATATTTGGAAAAGTGAGCTAATTTTCCAGTTCCGACTTGCTACTCGCGATCTGTGTCGCCGAGATGAGCAGCTCATCGACCACAGCGGCTCCCGATCTCACAGCACACTGGCACTCGATTCTAGACAAGGCAAACGATGCGGCTGAAGTTGTGGGCAAATGGAAGCCAGCCTACCTTGACATCGTCGACCCGCTGTGCTCCTACATTGTTCTTTTGGTCGGCGCAATCTTCGCTTTCCAAAGAGCGCGCTCGCCCGAGATGTCTTCTTACTCCTCCCAGCTTGACCTACTGGAGTTGTTTATGGAGCAGATAGGGACTCGTTGGCCTATAGGTGAGCATCGCTTCTACAAACTTCCTTGATAACCCACCTTTCTAACATGTTTGGCACAGCAAATCGTCTCGGCAGTAAGTACTATTCTTCATGCTTTCCGATGATGAACATGCTGACTGAAAGGGCGGGAAAGAATCCCTTCAATCGATACAGAGAAACCTGACTTCGGGCAAGTTTACGTGTACACTCGAGACAGCGCTCACCTACGTTCGCCAGTTGGCTCACCCTTTCGATGGCCAACCTGTCCACCCCGCCATGAAAGGTGAAGCCCCAGGAGCGAGCACAACGGGATCTACAGAGGCAACGGACACAAGCAACGGAGACTATCTAGCCAGCACATATGATGAGGGATACGGGCATTACAACGATCTCGACGATGTTGATTTCGCGAGTTTGGAGGGAGTTTTGAGCGGTGTAGACCCGATGGATATGCTACTACAAGTAGGCTGTTGAGCAGAGGCGGGAAGGACTTGGCTTGCAACCCGGGATGATGCAAGGACGGCGTATCCTCGTAGTGTTATCTTAGCTGCCCAGGAAAAGACCGAAATTTGTGCCCGGAATACCCAATCGCCATTTTCATGCTTGACAAAAGGCAGGACTCGTGACGTAGATTATGAGATGAACTCAAGTCTCAAGTCGGGTTGGGGGGAGCGCATAAGCTCCAGGAAGGCGGGAATGCCATCTGGTGACAGGTGCGACAACATCAGATGTCGCATGAGAACCTTTGTGCTATCCGTAAATTGTTTGGAAACAGCTTTCTCATGATTTAAAACAAGCATGTGAAAGAGTGTCTGTTCTGTGCATATGCCCTATGGGGGCGGGCGGCGGCTTTGTGTGTGTGGGAAATGGGAGAAATAGTGAGCCAATCGTCCGTTGTTTTTCATCCCATTGCCAGCATCAATATGCTCATCCTGGGGGTTTCCAAGCAATTGAAGGAGCCAGAAAGCTTTGTTGGTCTGTTGTTTGTAGATTGCGGCATGAGGTAGGTAAGTACTTTAGGTGAACGTGCTCGGAAACATCCATTTGCATTATTCAATCGCGGGTTGTCACGGACGATTCAGTCGGAGCTCTGATGTATGCACATAAGGGCATGAACAATGTCTGGGGGCAAGAGAGACGGGATTCAATTAGGTTCAGGGGGAACGATGAGTTCAGATTATTGTAATCCCGAATGAGCCGCCGTCATTACGAACTGCACTTGGAGGCCTCATATTGGCGAGATGAAAAGAAGGAGGACCGAAGAACAACAAGATAGAGAGTATGATATCGAACAGAGGTCGAGGGTTCAAGCTGGCGACCCTCTGAGTGAGAGTCACTTGAGAAATCCAGGAACAAAATTGAACATGTTCGTGCCCACGGCCAGCTTGCACTGCATAGCATGAACGACCTTATTGCAAGCACCCCTTTCCGTGCCGTGCCGCGATGGGGGCTAAAGCTCGATGCAACCACTAAAAATATTTACCACATTTTTTTTTCTTCATTTAGCACTGCTTAACAGCGCTCCTGTTCTGGTGGCTGAAAGGGCGGGCAGGCAGGAAAGGGTTTGGGCGGCATTTGAAAGCAGGCACACGCGGAAAGCATGGGAGGTTCATCCTAGGCGCGGGAGCCCGGAGCGGGTTCTGTGAAGTGAAAATGTCAGGGAAGGGACTTGTGTGAACAGCCTTCCTGGTTCTCTGGTGATAGAATAGGCGGTGGTGGGTGTTTGGCCGGTGAGAGGGCATCCCTTCCACGTCATGCCGGAGGGAGATTGTACTACCGGAGGAGCTCGAGGTAGTGAGTGGATAGTTCATTTTGCAGAATCTTTGTTGCAATCCATTGCTGTGTTCCACGTGCGGCACGACTGGTTCGACTGTTTAGTGGGAGGTTGGATTGAGTACAGAATCGCTTGGGCAGGTGAGCCGTGAGGTCATTGCATGTTTGGCGGTCCCAGGGGACCATCCACGTTCTGGCGATCCAGGGAAAATCAGAGGGACTGTGCATTCTTAGTGTGGTTGTAACGGTCAGGACTGGCACGACGTCACGGTTGGTTGGTTGGTTGGTCTGTATAAAGGATCGACAGGTTTTGGGCTGGCACGCTGGCTAGCTGCTCATCAGACGGTGTGTGAGTGAGTGAGTGTGAGTGTGCGCCTCTCATTTTTCCCGAATCCCGGGGGGAGACTCATCATCAGCAACTTGGAGGATTGGCGGTCAGGTTTTTGGGGGCGTGTGGTGCGAGTGTGATGTGTGTTGTGTGATTTGTGGTGCGTGATGTGACCTTGGACGATCTTTGGGCGCCTGATGAGTTGGCATTCTTTTTGGCATACGCAATCTTCTGCCCGTCTTTTGGGGATCCGCGGCGGTAAGACCTGGCTGAGTAGGATGAGGTTGAGAATGGCACCCTGAAAACACTGGCAGTGGCTACGGCTCTGGGCCCGGCAACATCCTTCTGCTTGGAGGGAAACCTCCCCGAACGATACCATTTCAATGATGCTTCCGATATCCGTAAAGATGAGTTGCTCTATCCGGATCTGTACGAATATCTGGTTGAGTCATTGTCCGGCGCGGCCCTCGGGATGCGGTAGCTGCCGCGGATGACCAGAACTGATTTGGAACCAACTTGGATGTGGGCGCAGGTTGTGTATCCCCCTTCGGATCCATGCGTGATTGGACACTCGCCGGTCCTGTCTCTCACGGATAACATTAGCTGCCCCTGAAGTGTGCTTAGATCAGCCCTAGAGTTAGCAACGCAACATCTGTGTTCAGGGCGACAGTGGACATTTAGGAAACAGGCACAAAGGGCGGCACGGCGGATAGCTAGAAGACGTACGGAGTATGAAGAGCCCCGATTAACTGCTGACGGCGATCGGGCCCGGGGTTCTTTGGATTCCCGTGCCCCGCGGCGCTAGCGATGGGGTGAACACTGAATAGTAAACTTGAGGACGAATGAAGGCCAGGCAAGACCGGAGTCAGTATCGGTATCTGTGAGTGAACAGGTTGCGTGTTTCGAGCCTCTCTCGTTGCTGTGAAGCTGTATCACAGGTGGAAAGGTGTCTTTGTGTGTCCTCGAGTTTCTACTATTCCGATAGATGTGAGCACCGAGGACGAATGCCGACTCCATTCCCACAATTTCCATCGTCTTGTTCGTCACGTTGTCTGTTTGGGAACAGAAACCCCAGAGGATCCGTAGCTTTGCGACAAACAGAGACAATCAAAGGGGGCTGACCAGGGGAGAAATGAGGATGCAATCCAACATTTTGGTGGTGCACCCCGCTCTGCAGGAAGATAACGAGGGTCTTCCAGCTGCGCAGGGGGTTTGTGTTCTGCAATCTGTTGCTCTTACCTATACGAAGGAGAGGGGAAGGGGGGCCCGCCAACGGGGCGGTAATGCATGCAGAGTGGCAGGTCGTTGATATTAAGGTGTTGACGGGGGGAATAGAACGGTTCTGGACAAGTGTATCTGTATGCAACATGTCACGCGTATAATTGCCCAGGGCCCTTTGATCCATTGCGGCTCCCTTTGCTTCGGTGAAGTTGGCCCCTGACTCCTGAGATCTCGGAATGAGTTGGGTAGATTGGGTAGAGGGACGGGATCGTGTACTCCGTACACAGTAAGGGGCGAGGCGAGGGGGATGAGACGTGTAGTCGGTAAACCGACATTTGAGCACAATATCAATATCTAGCGAAGTGCTATTGAATGCATGTCTGATTTCGCGGCGGCATAGGGATATGCAGGAACACAATGGGAGTGTGGCTGTGAGACACACGGTGGATCAGTGCATAGACCTAACTTTGGCAATGCCGAGACAGGATGATGAAGTGATGGGATATCCGTACGGAAAGATGGGAAGATGAGGACTCAGGAGTTCCATCTTCCAAGAGCTGATGTGATGGCAGGTCGATTAAGGAGCTGCATGCATAGTGAGGCTCAGTCGACGATCCGATGCTACCTACCGGTGTGCATATCCACGTATCCACGGAGGAGGTTGTTGGATGGAGAGCAGAGGTGCTATGAATAGTACGGATATGAGAGAGTGGGAAAGGGGACCGCTTATGTACGTGTATGCAAGGACCGTGGGGTCTCCCGTCCCATGATTTTGACGCCTCATCATCCATGAACTTTGGGAGATGTATCGACGGCTATCAGCGAATGCTGGTATATTCGGGGGCTCCTCTAGGCTCCTCCCCCTTCGAGACGTGTTCCACGGCCCTTGATAAGTCGAAATTGGATGCCGTGGCTTGGTGGTCGAATCTGACCCAGTTGGCCGGAAACACGGCGTCAAGCACGTCTTGGGCCTGGGCTGGGCGGCGGGACATGCTGTGGTCTCTGTGTGTTTTTGACCAGTGAACAGTGATCGTCGGCGAGAGCGAGACGGGGGCACGGGAGACACTGGCGGCGGACGATTACCTAAGTGCATCTAGCTTCGATTTTGGTGTAACTCGGCGGGACAGTGAACTCTGAAAGGCTCGTGGCTCAGAACGAGAAGAGCAGAAACAGAGAAGTTGAGAACAAAAAGCGAGAGGTCGCCTGCTCATTTCGAGCCCCGGCAACAGGACCCAGAGGCCGGTGGGCGGCCAAGCCTCATTCGGCCGTGGACCCCATCGCGGGAGCCCCGCCGTCGGCCACTCATAGGTGCGTATTTACCTCTTCATTTGGAGTGGTGGATCTATAAGTATCTCCCTACGCAAGCTCTGGTGGAGGAGTACATATCCACAAAGTCCTGTCTCCTCCCTCATTCAGGAACCTGGCCTCGCAGCCTTAGGTAGCAACCCCCAAGCAGCTTAGGTAAGGCGCGGGAGGTGGACGACTGGGCAAACATCCAGCCGAACAGTGGAGACCATGGATGAGTACGTACCGTAGACCTCCTGTGCACCCGCCTCCCACTTCCATTCTCTGCCCTGCTATTGCGGCACTGCCAGCGTCTCCCGCCCCTCTGCTGAACATCCTGCTTTCAGGTGAATTTGAGGGGAGGTGGTAAACCTTGGAGTACGTACCTCTGGAAGGACTGTCAGTCCACAGCGATGGAAGCCTATGAACATGTCCTGTCAACGTCTGGCTTCCGGCGCCTCTCAGTGGTTCTGTGTCGCGATCAGTGGTACCGGCAGGGGCCTGGTGGCTTTCTTTTAGTGGACCGGGCCGCCTGTTCCTGAGGTCCAGTGTCTCCAGCGTCTCCCTTCCGGCTGATGAGGCCCTGCCCACCTCACCTGTGACCCGTAGGTTCGTACTGGTGTACCTTAACGGAGATGCCCTGCAGGTCGTCTCTTCCACCGACGTGGACCCGTAACCTTGCGCGCTCTCTCACCTGGGCAGTCTCTCTCTGACCTGAGTCTCTCTCATCGTCAAAACCTCTCTTCCCCGGCTTTCCTTCCCACTCCCTCTCTTCAACCAACCGGCCTCAACCACCCACCTCGTCATACCATGCGCCGCGCCGCCGTCGAGACATGCCCGAGCCATTGATTTATTCCTTTCCATCTCTGTCTCTGTCTTCGTCTCGACTCGCAACCCTTCACGTCTTCGCCGACGCTTCCTCTGCTCTCTTCGTCCAGTCCTCCATCCCGACAAAGACGAACCCGACGACGTTGACGACATAGTCAGGAACGACACACCGTCCCTAAGTTCCGATCTTTCCTTTTGCTACTCGTCGATCCTCGCCATCGATAGCGACACCGTCACCCCCCGTCAATTGCACGCCTAGCGAAAGTACGATACCCCCCAAACCTCGACGATCCATACGAACGACGGTCGCATTGATTCGACTTTTGCGTTGTTTTTTCTTTCATCGGAAAACAATGTGCTGAGGCTTTGCTCGGCCTGCTGTTCTGTTTTTCTTTCTTTCAATCCAACAAACCACGACCCAAGGACTCGATAATATCGCCATCCTGCCGCTGATACCCCCCACGAACGACCGGGAGAAACCAGAGACAAAATAACGACATCGCTCAGAATAGTAGCAGTAGCCGTTAACACCCCCCCGTCACATCCACTCCCACATTCAGCTACGTCCAGCCTCCCGACGTCTCGAACCCCGGCCGACCGACCATGCCCACCTACCTCACCCGCGAGAACGCCCCCGTCTACTCGCCAAATTCCGACTTTCTGGACCTCGACCCAAACAACACGCTATATCTGTCTGGCCACAAGCACCCAATTGACGGGCTCTCCCATACTTTACCCCTTCGCCCATCGCGCTCAAACAATCTCCATGATAGCTTCGACGAAAGCTCAACCTCATCAACCCACGCCTCAGACGTCTCTGATTCCATCCCCACTCAGATGAATGGGACGAGGCCGACTAGCATGAGCTCGCTGCCCAACGGCTCGGCAGGGGCCGGAGGAGGCCCAGACTTTGATTATCACGACCACGACTCTCATCACCACGACCAGTACCACGATTACAAGAATCAAAAGCACCCTCTACAAAATGGACACACCGTTACCATGCCCGACCGGACAGCTCCGCCGCCCCCTATCACTATCATCAAGAAGCCATCTTCCGATACCGAGCAATCGAGTCCGACGGATAACTACCTCACGCCGCCTTCAATTGGATCGCCTGCGGCCGGATCCATCGATCATACTATAAAAACAAACGGGACCAGCAGTCCCAATTACGCACCTCCAGCAATACCCTCCCAAGGCAAACTTGCCAACGGCCACACAACGCCCGTGCCAGCAGCCAGCAACGCGTCGCTGTCCCCAGATCCCATCGCCAATAACCAACCGGCATCACCGCAACGCTTCTCTTCTCCACCGCTTTATCAATCTGGCGGCGCTACCCCCAACGGATCAACATCAACGGGGCTGCAACCGCCAAACGGCGGACTGAAGCATCGACATACGCTCGAAGTTCCCGGTACCCAATCCAACCGCGCCTCCAAGGATGGCTCCGACACGGGTTTCTCCAGCGGTCGCTTCTCTCCCACAAGCACCACGCAAAGAGTGCGTAGGGCGTCCCTTAATCTGGTGCGGAGAGATACCCGCTCCATGCAGTCCGATGTACCGCGTGACGAAGTGGTGCCCGACGAAGAAGCCCTGCGTTGGGCCGAGCATTATCGGCAAAAGCGGGCGAGCAAGAGGAAGAGAAAGGAAGAGGAGGATGACGATAGAGTCTTGGTCGGCACAAAGGTCGACGAACATCACACCAACTGGGTCACCGCCTACAACATGTTGACGGGCATCCGTGTTTCTGTGTCCCGCACGAACGCGAAGCTCGACCGGCCCCTTACGGATGCCGACTTTGAGGCGAAGCAGAAGTCGACTTTTGACATGTACGTCAGGTCCCGCGTAACCCACGTGCTTTGCAAGTTTACTAATTTATTCAGTGCCGGCAATGAGTTGGTGCCCTCGGCGAAGTACGATTTCAAATTTAAGGATTATGCGCCTTGGGTATTCCGACATCTACGCGGCCTGTTTCGCTTGGACCCCGCAGACTACCTCATGTCTCTGACGGGCAAGTATATCCTGTCTGAACTGGGTTCCCCTGGAAAGAGTGGTAGCTTCTTCTACTTCTCCAGAGACTACAAGTACATCATCAAGACCATCCATCACGCCGAGCACAAGTTCCTCCGCAAGGTCCTCAAGGATTATTACCACCACGTCACCGAAAACCCGAATACGCTGCTCTCTCAGTTCTACGGTCTCCACCGAGTCAAGATGCCCTACGGAAAGAAGATTCACTTCGTAGTGATGAACAACCTCTTCCCTCCCCACCGGGACATCCACACAACTTTCGACTTGAAGGGATCTACGATTGGCCGCGACTATAAGGAAGACGACCTGGACAAGAACCCTCGGGCGACGCTGAAGGACCTCAACTGGATGCGCAGACAGCGAAATCTCGAGCTCGGCATCCAGAAAAAGAAGCTTTTCCTGGAGCAGCTGCAAAAGGACGTGGTCTTGATGAAGAAGCTCAAAATCATGGACTATTCTTTGTTGATTGGTATCCACGATTTGCAGCGTGGAAACGATGAAAATCTCCGTGGAAAGACGCTTCAGGTCTTCAACCCCGGCGGCGAGCAAGAAGATGGTGAGCCGCCATCGGTTCTGTTGCGAACACCTTCCAAACTGGAGAATGCTCGCAAGGCACGGGAGCTGCGCAACATGATCAGGCACGAGCGGCCAGTGCCCATGGGCCAGACTGCAGCTCAAATGCCAGATGAGCTTGATGAGGGACACAGCAGGTCGGGATACATCTTCAACCAGGACGATGGTGGATTCCAGGCGACCCACGAGGACAACTCTCCAGCCGACGAGATCTACTACCTGGGTGTCATTGACTGCCTGACTCACGTAAGACTATTGCCTATGCTCGCTGTTTCACTGCTAACGTTTTGCATAGTACGGAATGATCAAAAAGATTGAGCACTTCTGGAAGGGATTGACAAGCGACAAGACCAAGATTTCCGCTCTGCCCCCTGAACAGTACGGCGACCGATTCTACAACTTCGTCGAGGGTATAACGATGTCCCCCGAAGAGGCGATTAGGGAGAAGATTCGGAAGGACCAGGAGCAGATCGAGGCCGCCGCGGCTGCGGAGAGACAGCGCGTTGCTAGTTGGAGCTCGAGTATGCGCCGGCGGTCGGGGACGAACAACATTCCCCCGATGCCCGACTACCGGCCTCCGCCAACCCCACCTAGCGCTCCAATGTCACCCGAAGCACGCGAAACCGTCGAGCGAGCCCAGCAAGATGCCCGAAGGTCCGAGAGACACGGCGCCTCCGAGCTCAACGTTCCGGACGTCGTTCTATCGACCACCAAGATGAACGAACGACGAGAATCGGGTGGCCAAGGGGCTCCTATCCTGCCTGTAGTCGAAGAGGCAGGAGAGGCTTCGTCGCTAGGGGGCAGAAGCAGAGACGGGGCAGCGAGTCGGGATGGGGATGACTATCGGCCGGCTACACCGGCCAAGCCTGGTATGGAGAGTAGATTCGCGGGACTCAGGGACTACGCGCCGCCGACGCCGCCGAAAGGCCATCATCTCAAGCCCGAAAGCCAAGACAGCGGCTACGGGGCGCTGCCGAACGGGAACGGTTCCGCGATGAGCAGAGAAGACTCTCTTAACATCAAGCCTCGCCTTAGTAAGGACTCTCTCGACAAGGCCTTGCCCCCGCTACCAAAGGAGGCGGGCGGGCAGAGCAGCTTCCGCATGGGCCTTGCTTAGGGCGCAAGCCGCCTCTTGCGGAACAACAGCAGACGGATTCGTGTTGTTAGGAGTACGAGTGGGAGCAGTGGCGATGCAGGGGAAGACACGCGAAGGGAAGAGAAGGGTGGATGAAGCAGCAGCAGGGGGAGATGAAGAGGGGTCGACAAATCAACAATTGCATCAACGGGGTCAATGACAAATTCTGCAAGCTCGTTCAACGAGGTCTCACAGCGACCGAGGCAACAGAGCCGAGACGAGCCACAGAGCTTTTTACTAGTGTTTTCTCTCATGGATGATACCACCATTGCATTGAGCATGCTTCTTCTTTTTTTTATTCAAACTTTTTTTCTCTCCCACCTTTTTCCTTGGGTGTTCTTATCAAACCTCCTTTTTTGTTTTTGTTTTTTTCGCCCATACAGAAAGTCTCTCATACATAAAGGTCATCACGTAAAAAATCATTGTTTTCCCCGGTGATGACCATACCCCTGCTGGGAATCAAAGGCAAAGGGAGAAAAAAGAATAGGAGTCGGGATGGATGGAATTGGTGGAAAACTTTATAGCGATATTCAGAGGGCGCTTTCCCCTCCCATAATATGGGGTTGGGGTGCGTCTAGGTAGCACAAATAGAAGAGTCGGTTCTCAACTATTTTGAAGTCAAGTTGTGTATTGTGACATGCCTCGGTCAGTCAACTCCTCAGTAATGCATTTGAAGCCGGGCTTGAGCCTGAGTGATGGTGAATAGGTGAGAGTTTGTTTGTCATTGTGCTTTACATTATTCTACAGACGTTATTTTGAATCCCGCCGGCCCCCCGAGGAGAGGAGTATCTAGAAACATATTGTTGTACACCAGCGAGTGGTAGCTGGAGAAAAGAGAGTTTTTCTGGTATCAAAGGGGGCCATATACAGCCGCCGACGGTTCGCCTTATTCAGACATCTTTGCCGGAGGGAAAACATCCCATCAGATCCCGCAAATCCGACGGGGGAAGGGGCTGGTGGTTCGTTCATCTTGAACATATTCTTTGTTTCTTTCCCCTGGGCGTACCGCCTTACTGCCTCCTCGAGGCGAGCATGTCCTGCAAATCAACCTTTGTTGGCGTTGGCCCCTTGGGAGGGGCTGAGGGCTGGTCGGCGAAAGTGGTGGTGACGTCCATCTTGATTGCGTTTTCGGCTTCGAGCTGGGCTATGCGCTGCTTCTTTTGGAGGTCTGCTACACGCCATTGTTTGAAATATTTTACCTGTTAAGGGGGTTGAGTGTTAGTATGAACTGTTCAGGTGCAAGGGGATCTTGTTCTCTTGACTTTGCTGCGTGAACAAGGTAGAGCTCTGGTCAAAGGTGCTTTGCTGCTGGGAGCCGCCAGAAGCTACGCTACACCAACGATCCATCTTCCAGGACCCAATGACTGCGCAAGGAGGAAGGGGAACCCCCAAGTGTAAGAAAGACAAACACATACCCAAGCAGCAGCGCAGTCCCGCTCAAAGACCTGGTTCTCGGCAGGACACGCCTTGCGGGCTTTCGCATCGTCCTTGAGGGCGTCGGCGATGACGTTGCGGTCGAGGCAGCCAAAGTAGGCGTCGCGGGCTTCCCAGCACTTGCGGCGTTCGCTGCGGTCCGGGGCGACGGCGCCGGTGCGGACTTCTTCGGCGCGTTTGGCTTCTTCGGATTGGAAGGAGGAGAAGAGGCCCATTGTGGTGGTGGAGGGTGGAGTTCGGAGCTTGGGGTGTGGGCTTCGATGTCGGCAGGATCGGGAGGGGGTTGATGGGATGTTTGCTTGGTGGTGAGAGTCCGGGGGTTGATTGATTCGAGAGGTGGGTTTTGTCGTTATGTAGGCTGATATGGTGTGTTCGCTCGACAAGTGGCGGTTCAGATGAAGTCTCGAATTCTTGGATGACGACTTCTGTAGATCTCGAGCAACGCCGCGCGAAGTTCAGATTGGAGGGCCGGCAGAATATCGAGCGGTGGCCCAAAGTAGAGTAGTCTACTCAACCGGGGTGGCTCCGTCACGGCTCAGCTCTAATGTGAGCCTTGCTTCATTGGTCCTTAGCGCAGCGGGTGCTTTGCCGTTGCGATTCTAGGCAGGCACAGGCGCACCGGCGCGCCGCAAGAAAAGAAGTGTGGCGCAAACTGAGTGTGCTCCAGCTGACTCCAGCCACCAAAACTGTCAACATCCCGCTGCTTCCCTTGGGGCACATCCTCCTCAACGTGACAGCTTGGACGAAACAAACTACGAATTACGCTGACGTACAAAATCGAAACAATCTTTACCAGAAGCGACGCCGGGGTTTGACTCTTTGCGCAATCTCCTCAGCCTGTGATTGCCAATAGAGACTCAGAGCTTATAAGCGGCGCGGAGATTTGCTCCCCAGGAAGAAGGGATTACGAACCGGGGGGTCTGGGAGTTTCTTATTGCGAACCGCAAAGGAAAGCTCGATAATGCTCCGCCGGTAGCGAGATTCGAACAACACTCCGACAAACCTCTCCCTTCCTTCCGACGACGACCACGAAACAACATCTCGAACAACCTATTGACAAACCATCGACATCCTCAAGAAATCTGCTGAAATTAACCCGAAATCCGAAGCATACACCCTCCGAAACAACCTTTGACTTCGACCCGCCATGCCCCGCCGTCGCAAGCCGCCCCGGCCAGGCGCCCTCAACGACCTGCCCCCGCTGCGCATCGCCTCGCAGATCGCGGCGCTACAAGGACTGTACTATGCCGGGGCGCTGGTGCTGATGCTCTTTTCGGCGCTCGTCGCTGGAACGGGGTTCACGCTGGATACCGTCTTTGGATGGGAGGCTGTTCGGGGAGATACGACGCAGGGTTGGTTGGGGGCTTTCTTGTGGGTTCTTGATGGGGGTTTCTGCATGTGAGCTTCTTCCCTTCCTTCTCGTCTTTTATACGGAGTGTTTGGGCTAGTTTGTGTTGTTTCTGGGAGCTTGTGGTCGCGGGATGAAGAGAGAGAGGAAGGGAGCGAACGAGCGAGGGCAAGAGTCTGAAAAACCAACGTTAACGTACAACAACAGGGCTGTCGCAATCATCATCCTCATCGGCCGCTCGAAACTCGTACCCGACTTCGCGTTGACAATGCACGGTGTACACCTCGTCGTCACGAGCCTATACACCGGCCGCATCCCACGGAACGCAATGTGGTGGGGTGCCATGGCTGCCAGCTCGGGTATCTGTGTCGCCTTGGCGGTTTGGGGATCTAGATACCGCGAGTTGAGGCCAATATCGTTTGGTGGAGGAGGCGGTGGCGGCGGAAATGCCGGTGCTGGGAGCAGCGGTGACGGGGCCGCGCAGAATGGCGGCGCCGGAGACGAGGAGGATGGGCTTGGGTTCTCGAGGGGGCGGGGACGAGGGAGAGGGAGGGATGGGGAGGGCGGGTATGAGATGGTTAGCATGGATCATGAGAGACGGAATTCTTGATCGAGCTGAAGAGCTTTGAGACGACATGTTCTTAGTCGGATTGGAGAAGAAGCTGTGGTTTGGGATTGGCCGCGAGGCTGGAGGGTATGACATATCATTGCTTGGCGTTAATGGGATGTACGAGTATCGAGGATAGACGATCCGGATTGTGTACAGTTCACAGGGCTGTGATGACGCAGGAATAGACACCCTCTTGAAGGAATTCAGACTTTGGTTTGGTTGAATGGAGCCGCGAATGTCGTCCAAATTGTGAAGCCGCTTCTGCGCTTCTGGTGACTTGGGTGTCAGTTTTGAGGTTGCCTCAGATCTGCCGAAAGCCATCATAGCTAAGCACCTGCTAGTCTTACTGTTCTTGCACCAGGTGTAAGGTCTAAGCCAAAAACACAATGCAAGATCATTACCGTATAGCTAGACCACTGGGTATCTGGTACCCTCTGCCTTTGGGAGGGGGAGCCCCACGATGACAGAGGAAGGCATGACATGCTATTTTAAGATCAAGGCGCTCTTGATGTCTCTTATATGAAAAGAGAAAATATTTATAACGAGAGGGATTGATTCATCTTGCACATCCTGCTCGTGGTTCTGCTGGTGATTAAGTATGATGCTCATGATGAACAAAGGGTGTGAACCACCTATGCGAGGCATAAAATACATTGTATTTTGTTGAGTTTCATACTCTGGCAGTCATTTTCGTCTTCCGGCTGGACATCACAGCTTGTATCTCGTGCCGCTTCCTCGTTGTGGTCGCTCGTATTCGCTTGCAATACTTAACGGGATGTGCGGAAGCGAAAGGAGCCTAGGCAGGAGAGTCTATGTGTGTCCTCATGAGTCTTTGATCTAGATATCTCTTAGGTACAGACTGAAGCGTCTCTAACGTCAAGGACCAAGGTAGCCTTAAGCCTAGGCCAGCAACTCCATAGTCTTGGCCTAGACTCAGATGTACTGTGTCACATTGATTTTCGGTCAAAGAGACTTCACCCATTATATATGCCAACCTGTTGAGGCAGAAGGCGATGTATTTATGAATCCAGTGGCTGAAGCTCTTGATAGTGATAGCAGTTGTTATTTTGGTTGAGGGTGGGTTTACAACGTCTACTTGGTTTCTGGACTTACCTTTTGTGAAGAACATTTAAAGCCTAAGAGGAGGTTCTAGTTATCCTGAACAAAGGCGATCCTCATGCATAGTGAGATGTCAAGGAACACGAATACTATTTTGGAACCTCCTTCAGAGTATTATCTTTAGTTGAAATGCAAAAAGATCAGATCATCAGGATAATGCATGACTGTGGGTTGCTTGACGCTTGGGGGGTGGGGGGAGTTTCCAGTCAAACCTAGCTGTCCTCGTACGTCTACCACTCGCTTGGATACCTGACATCTCTTCTGCTGGTAACCTGGTCTATTGCAGGTGCAAGCTAATCTCCATGTCGAAGTACCGGATGCTCTGGTAAAGGCTTCGATGTTCAGTTCTATGACCAATTGAAGTGTGTAGCTGTCTCAATTACAAAGACTTACTAGTTGTTGGGCAGCGATTGTCAGGTAGGGGGTCAATGGGATGTATTGATGAGTATGAAGAATGAGTGGCTATGGGAATATCCCGACTATCTATAGTGAGTGGAAGACCCTTTATACTGGCATATCCTTGCCAAACTTAGTCATGCTTGTGTAAGACCAAATTGTCTCATAGGCATAGTGTGACAATCGTTGTAACGAGTGTATTGGGATGGGCCTGACACTAGTCTCTTGGCTTCCAGCCTTATGTCCTGATTTTCTCTCAGCCAGAATTAGTTACTTGTCGCCAGAGATGATTCTGATCCCGGCTTTTCCTGCGATGGAAGTGGGAGAGAGAGGCTGAAGGTGTAAGCCCAGTCTCAAACCCCAGCTCATGTGCGCCACAGTACTGCATTCGTAGGGCGTTTGAGGCCGAATCTAGAGCCTGATTTTATTTTATTTTCCTCGGATATTTGCATTGCTGAAGTTACACCAGAACTCGTAACTATTTTGGGTCTCACACATGGCCAATTGGAACCGCATCTGCTGCTGACGCGTGGTGAGAAGAGCGAATCACATATCTTACAACACGCAAGGGGAACGCCACAGCTGCTCGCAGCTCAGGCCTCAGCCGAATGTATTAGAACATGTCTCGCCGCAGGTAGCCATCTTATATAAATACTGACCTCCCTCGGTCGAGCCTCGCCTGCTCTCGCATGCAGTTCTCTCTCGCAAGGTGGTCGAAGGCCTCTCTCCAAGTGCTATGCACTCTCCTATCTCGCGTTCGATGCGCGGGAATCCGAATGCCTCTGATGAAGAACACCACGATCTGATAGGACTGTCTCCTCGCCGCCCCGAAACACCCATCGAAGAACAATATGGCTATTCTTTTCAGGAAACCAGAAAAATGTCTACAAACGACGAACATAGGGCTTTCCTTGCCCCAAGCATGTTGAACATCTCTGGTCAACAGTCTTTACACCCCAACTCCGTCTCAGAGGTATCCTCGCCGGACTCGGAACAAGAGCTTTCCAAGCAAATGACCTCGAAGCTTACCGAGAACGAATTCGCGAATCAGAAACAGCCAAATACACCACCAGACAGCGGGTTAACCATAGAATGGATATGGTCAGTGTGGTGGGTGGAGATGTTCAGCAGCGTTCTAGCCCTGGAGTGCATCTCTGCCATAATGATTATTCTGTCCATTTACCGAGGACAACCTCTTCCACACTGGCCCAAGCTCATATCAATCAACTCCTTAATCGCCGTCTTCACGGCCGTTTTCAAAGCTGCACTCATACTTCCTGTTGCCGAAGGTTAGTCTTTGCCTCTTACTGATGGGTTTCGTACGTTGTACGGGAGGCATGCGGATGTTCTAACTTAAAACAATGCTTAGGCCTGGGACAGCTGAAATGGAACTGGTTCGATCGATCTCAAACGCTGGGCGACCTCGTTCTTTTTGACAATGCGAGTCGAGGGCCGTGGGGCTCATTACTACTGATGAAGAGATACATCCTGAGGCCGAGTATTAGAGGGTAGAGACTACTTGAATCATCGTCTGAGATCAGCCTATTGACAATTAGACAGATACTTGGCAGGACTTGGTGCATTCATCACTGTTGCAGCCCTCGCCATCGATGCTTTCTCTCAGGCCACCATCAGCCTCGGCTCTTGTAATATCACGGCAGAATCTGGTCTAGCCCAAGTGCCTCGGACGAACAACTATTCGGGCAATCCCCAACGGCGCGACAGCTCCCTTGATGCTGCCCCTATAACCCTGAATCAGAAAATGCGGAAGGCTATCAACAAAGGTCTTGTGGATCCTCCAAAGGCTGGAGAACTCATCAACTTCGACTGCACCTCTCGCAACTGCACTTTCACGCAAGATGGCGGAGGAGGCTACTTCTCGTCTCTTGGAATCTGTTACTCTTGTGACGACATAACGGACCAAGCTGTCTTGAAGTTCTTCACCAACAAATCGGCTCCAGCTATCAACGTCTCGATGTGGTCCCTTCCATGGAGTAAAAACACATCTGAGACGATCCTCCAGCGCGAAAACGGTGGCACACTTCTGACGATGAGGCCGACACCCATCCAGACATACCATAACAGCTCGCCTCCCATCTACAGCTTCGACATTTTGTCGCTCACATATTCCAAGTGTGATTCATGCGGGCCTGGAAATCCACCGGTGGCCAGGAAACCCTTTGCAGCTCAGTGCAGAATTGACCCCTGCGTCAGGAAGTACAATGCCACCGTCACTGATGGAGTTTACACGGAAAAGGTTGAGGGTGACGTTCAGCTTCTGAAGAGACGCCGCGCAACTTTGGGTGACTCCAAAAATGAAAATGCCTTCGCACTACTTACGGAATCTGTTTTGGTTGATGGCACTGAGCGAAAGTGCAAAGTAGACGAAAGGGCGAACAATTCCGTTCGAGTTGGCCTCCAGCAGGATGATCATTTCCAAGAGATCTTTGATAACTCTAGCGAGATCTCCCACTCAGAGAATCTGATCTGGAAGACATATCCGCAAGAATGCGTCTGGGTAGTAGACCGGAACTCTTGGCAGGGGATGAGGGAGACAATGACTGAGCTTCTGAGTGGCAGAGTGATGACACCAGAGGCCGACTCGTTTCAATGGTTAAATGGTTCCGTCTGGGGTCAGCAGCTGTTTGCAGCGGGAAACGCTTCGATCTCTACGGTCAACAATCTGGTTGCCGGGCTGGCCGATTCAATGACGGCTACCATACGTAATGATCCGTATGGAACCTCAGAAGAGTTGGGTGAGAACGTACCTGCTAATCTCAAGGTGGCTACTGGACGTGTCATTATCACCCAAACATGTATTTATGTGCAATGGGGCTATATAGCATACCCCATAGCGCTTCTTGCTCTGCAGTGGATATTTTCGACGCTGGTGTTGATTGCGTGCAGTCAGCGCAGAAGGACCGGGGACGGGCCAGACCGCGCAGTCTGGAAGTCCTCCCCACTGGCACTTTTATTCCACGGCCTTGATGAGGATCTGTGCGTCAGGAGCCAAAATCTGGAGACTGTCAGGCAGATGAACAGCTTAGCAGACGATGTCAAGGTTCGGTTAGTGCCGATGAAGGATTCGCAACGGAAAGGATGGCACTTCGCAGGTGCCTAGACGATATATAATTATATATCATGTAGTAATAATACCGAGACGGCCGAATTAGATCCTTTTGAAGCTTTCTGACATCTGTCTTTATCCGCCATCGCTGACACTGCTTCCGGGGTCTGTTTCCTCGTACCTCAGGTTGTCTTTGGCAGGTCAAGATACCAAACACCAAAACCACAGCATGATTCGGGTTGTGTATCGGCCAGCAATTAAGTAATTTGAAAGGAAACAGCGACCAACGAAGCAACGTTACTGAATGCAGTTCTTCCAGAAAATTTACATACTGTGGAGTACTTGTCATATGCGTTCGGACTGATTGACTTGGACTATCTTGGTATATCGGTATCCCGGTGAACGTTTCGCTATAAATCAATGCTATATCCCCCCTTTACTCCGAAGCAGATGTTGTACTCTTCCGCCAACTTCAAGAAAGTCTTCGGTCTCGATCAATCACACAGGAATTCAACCTAGTCGTCTGGTCATTTTGCCGAGTCTACGAAGCCATAAGTTGTAACCCAATCGCACGTAGTGACCTATTAACTGCTTGATCCTAGCAGAACAGACAACGTTAGTATTTCTCTTTATGACTGATAGCAGAGGGTGATCTAACCTGCGGGGCAACCAGTGACACATGTTTCGGCCTGGCCTGTAAGAGGTCTTTTGCAGCAGTAGCTACCACCAAGAGGGCGGATATGATCGTTAGAGACCGATAGAGTGCAGCCGTTGCATGAACCGCTGCCGTCGGGGAAAGTGCAAGATGTGAAACAGCCAAAGGTGGAACATTGGCTTGTGCCAGTGGTAACCTGAAGGTCGAAAAGCTCGATCTCGTCAGGGCCACACGCCGCGTAGGCTTGAGCTGCAAGGAGGGCAACGAAAGGAAGGACTTGGAACTTCATTTTGGCGATGATAGTTGTGATAGAGACTATTATTGGGATGAGAATGGAGTTGAGACTTGAGTGGGTGTAGAGCTGAGCAAGCCATGAAAGCACGGTACGGTCTGTTGCCCTTTATACGGGATTGATCTTTGATGGATGGTGAACCTTATACGACTGAGTTATGGATAGCTCCACTAATGAACCTCTGCGCTGCCATACTCGATGGGGCACGCATTGGCGTCAGCTCTCGACTCGCATCGAATCATTTAAAAAGTTCCGTTTCGCGGAATATTAGTCCTCGCGTTCGGCCCAGGTATGCCGTACGCCAGACCGCCTACAGAACGCATGACGTTCTTCGCAAGGAAGGCTGTGCACCATGATACGCCCTAAGAATCTCAAACAAATGGCCTCAGCTTCCAGCAGTTATATTGAATCGCATTACGACTACGGAGAAATCCTGCCCAGCAGCTTCGAACAAGTAAGGTAAGGTGATAAGATGCAAAGAGGCACAGGAACCGTAGGGGGCCTCTCCAGTCGAAGTCAATAAAGTTCAACCCTCTGACTGCTGTCTTACCTCTTGGCCCCTGGAAACTCGTCGCAGGGAAGACCACAAGGCGAGATCATGGGCGCATAGAGGCCCATCCACGGCTAACGTGTACAAATACCGCGACTCATGACCGTCCTCGCTTGGCTCGGGGATCACCCGTCATCCCGTCCTACAATGGCTACCGATCAGCGAGTTCCGCTGACACTGTTCTAGAATTCTTCTCTGAAAAAGTCCGATAGAACAATCCTTTCCGTCGGGAAAGTCTCGACATACCGACCAGATGAACTGGTGTAGGGAAATCTTGGCACCTCTCTTTGGTGGGACGAAATAGAGTTTGGAGTTCAATCTTTTACCGGAAATTCGGCTTTGACGGGCGTACAGGACCTGCTGCCTGGGATGTGGGCTCCGCGTATCGATGAGAATACATGTATACTCCATTGTCCGGGCTCGGTCAAAACAGTTACCGACGGCGTCAAGTTTGTCCGAGTGAAGCGTACATTTTCGAGTCAGGGAGACATCTTCAACTCGCTGTTTGCACAGGGTCTTCAAAAGTACTCGTCAGTGCCTTTGCCTTCAATGTAGGGCTACTCAAGGCCCATTCGCCTCTGCCGAGTCAGGAAACCCCTGCTGGCGTGCTTTTTGGAACTGAACGGACCCTAGGGATTAGCTAATGTGGGCAGTACACACTGCACATCTGGACCAACGAGGCAAGCAATGAGGCAATACGACTGGTATTGACGGTTGGTTGGTGATGTTGTGGTGAAGGTGGCTGCGGTGGGCTGGATCAACCAGGAGGTGGATCAGGCAGCTGGTGCCTGGGGCACCAGCCACTGCCTCAGGTATCCACAGTCCCACACCGCCCCTCAGGCCACCAAGGCCAGCCACCGCAAGTGATATCTATCATACAATAATGGGATCAACTGTCCCTGGGCTGAATTGATCAAGTCCGAGGAGTTTGACGATTCAAATCAAAATCCGGCATCGGAAGGAGTTGTTCCGCTTCCGGCCGTGGTCTGGCAATCCCTCCGACGTCCTCCGCATAACCCATCCTTCTAGTAATCCATTCCCATACCGCCCCTGAACAGTCCATCTATCCCTTCCGTCCATGTTCACCATCCGCGATGGCTAGTGGTGAAAGTATCATGGTGTCAATTGCGTAGGTTAGGTGCCTGGACGAGGCCAAGGAGCTGAAGGAAGGCCTTGTGCTTGTCGTAGGTAAGTGCCTTCGTGAGGCCATCGGCCGCCATCTCGTGGGTTCGTATAAGGCGTAACTCGAAGTTATTCTTCTTGACTTGGTCAATAATCCACTTGTATCTCAGGTCAATATTGCGGGTTCGGGCCTGGTTTAGTGGATTCAGGACGTTAGTCATGGCATTCTTGCTGTCTGTCAGCAGCAGCAGTGGACGAGGCTGCTCGTAACCCAGCAACTGGAGCAGCTTTGCAATCCAGTTAAGGGACAGTCCAGCAGGCGTAAGGTTGATGAATTCTGCCTCTGTAGAACTTGTGGTGACGTAGGTCTGCTTCTTCGTCTTCCACAGGACCGGGGCACCAGCCAGGAATATAACGTAACCTCCTGTACTAACTTTCGTGAGTATATCGTCCGCAAAGGCAGCATCGGCAGCTGCGTGTAGGCCAAGCTCATCAACAGGCAAGTTGCCATCAAAGCAGATACCCACATCGCTGGTACCAATCAAGTACCGGAACAAGTGCTTCACAGCGGCGAAGTGGTGATCTCCAGGGCCCTTGTTAACCTCACAGAGTCTGCTGACTGTATACGCGATATCCGCGCGGGTTCCAGTAGCAAGGAAGTTAACTGAACCAGTCATCTGGAGGTACAGCTTCCGGCGGTCCTCATCAACAGGATCGTAGTCAACAGGCCACTTGGCATGGGGATCCATAGGGGTCTTGACAGGGTGAAGGTCAGCGTAGCCGAATTTGACGATGATCTTCCGGCAGAAGGCAGCTTGGGTAAGGTAGAGTCTCTTGTCAACACGGCGGACTTCATAGCCTAAGAACTTCTTGACGTCGCCCAGCTCCTTCATTTTCACAAAGGTCTTTAAGATATCCTTGACCTTCTGAATAGTGGCGCGATCTTTCGCAGCGATCACGTTGTCATCCACATACATCAGAACTAGGCAATCAAGGGTCTTGTGGCGGAATAGGCAGACCTCGCCCTCAACAGGGGTAAAGCCTAGATCAGTCATGTGGCCAGTTATCTTCTCGAACCACCACACTGGTGATTTCGGGTGGCCATATAGGGCGCGGCGGAGCAGGCAGACCTTGCTGCCCTTCCGAAATCCATGGGGTTGCTGGACGTATACCTTGACGTCGTCTGGAATCAGCGCTGCCAGGAAGGCAGTGTCGTAATCGAACAGTTCAGCGATGTATTCTTTAGCTGTAACCACAGCAAAGAACACACGGATGGAAGCAGCTGCAGCGGCTGCAGCGTACAACTCCTCTGCAGGCCAGTCTTCCACTGCCCTGTTCCCGCAGACCACCCAGCGGGCGCGGTATCGGGTGCGAATGCCGTCATCTTTGATATCGCAGATCCATTGGCCGGGCAGAAGTTTCTGGCCGTCTGGCAGGTCTACCAGAACGTACGCTCCGGCATCCTCCAGTGCCTTCACTTGTTTCTCGAAGGCAGGCTTCCACTTGTCCCACTCAGGACTATCTCTTGCTTGCTTGAACGTACGTGGAATGTGTGGATCGGTGACGGCAGCAGCAGTGCTGGTAGTGATCACTGCAGCTGGCTGTTGGTGTTGACTATCAATGAGGTCGAGGCTCACGTAAGCCTTGTTGACAGTAGTTGGAATAGATGCCATACCCTTGTTGACAACGCGGGCAGAGGTCCGTGACGGCGGGCCGTAATCCTTACTGTGTCTCCTCCTGACAGTAGGAGGCTGGGCAGGCTGGAGGTCGTGATCTTCAGCTTCAACCATTTGGGTAGCCTCGTCAATATCCTGCTGGAGCTGTGATTCTAGGGCCTCGTCGTAGTTACTCTCGCTGTCAGAGTTGTCGCGTTGGTCCTGGTGGGTAGGAATCAGGGCGACGTCATCGTCATCTTGCCATTCCAGGGCATCTGTTTTGACCACAACAGTGTCTTCAGGAGGTGGCGACAGCAAGGACTTCGTCACCTTATTGTGCTCCTTGCTGGCCGCGTCAGCATCATCCCCATCACAGGGGTCGTCAACAGACTGCTGGTCAGCAGCAGTGTTATCATTGTACGGGTGGAGGGGACCTTCGTAAGCAGTAAGGTCCGCCTCGACGTCTGGATCGATGAGAATTGCGTCGTGCTCAACAGTGGGATCGTCATATTCGTCATCAGCCTTCTGCTGCTGTCCTTCATTGAATCGTACGTCGCGACAGCGGTAGACCTTGTGGTGTTGAGGCACCCAGACGTTGAAAATGTGACCATGGAGGGATTCATACCCAACTAGGTAACCCTTGACTGCGCGGGCAGACATCTTCGCTGCCCGGCCTGGCTGAAGAGTGCTCTTCTTGTGAAGGTAGGCAACACAGCCAAAGGTCCGAAGGTGGTGGATGTGGGGGATCTGGGCCTGCTTGTCAAGTCCCAAGTCCTTGGCCAACATCTCGTGGGGGCTCTGCTGGCCTGGGTTGGTCTTCTTAGGCAGCAAATTCTGCACAGTAATCATGGTGTTGATGGCGTAGTCCCATAGCATTTCCGGCAGGCCAGCATCAATCAGGTTAGTCCGGGCTGCTTCCATAAAGGACTTGCCAGCTCGTTCACTCTTGCCGTTCATCGATGGGGTGTAGGCAACGGTTAGCTTGACAGCTATACCGAGTTCCTGGGAGACTTCCTTCGTAATAGTGTTGTATAGCTCTGTGCCGTTGTCGATGAGGAAGGCCTTGATGGTCAGGCCGTTGGTCTGGGTCTTGAAGAACTGGATGAACCCTTTGACCTTCTCGCATACGGTCACAGCCTTCTTGTCCTTCAGAAAGTATCCCCAATGGAATCCAGTACGGGCGTCGATCATGTGTAGGCAGTACTTGGACTTGTGGATCGACAGCGGGGTGACTTCCGCCAGATCCATGTGGATAAGGTGGCCAGGCTGGGCCTCGCGGGCCGGGGTTGCTCTGCTAATGAGCTGCTGCGACTTGCCCAGGTGGCAGGCCTCACAGTGGAAGTCCTCAACTTCCTGACGGTTGAATGTAATGCCGACGCGGCGGCAGGCCTGGATCACTCGATCTTTGCTAGCATGGGCAAGGCGTTGATGCATCAGTTTAAACGTGACCTTCTGCGTCTTGGTGACTGCAGCAAGGCTGACAGCGGTGTCAAGTTGTGGACCTTCCGTCTTGTGGGTGGTGAATACAGCGACGTTGCTACGCCAATCCACTTTGGCCATGTTGATCCCATTCAACGTGATTATGTTGTTGTAATCATCGGTACGGTATCCTTGTGTTCGAAGGCTGCCGTAACTGAGCAGGTTGACTGGACATTCAGGGCAGTACTGGACCTGCTGGATAGTCCAGTCCACAACCTTCCCACTGTCGTCAGGGTCAACAGCAGGCAGGTAGACGTCTCCATAGCCCAACGGGGCTGCCAGTTGACCGTTGGCGACTTCCATGGGCGGCATCTGCGCCTCTGTGAAGGAAGTAAACCACGACAGGTCGTTAAAGGTACTGACACTGCATCCGGAATCCAGGATCACGTCGTTCTTGTTAACGACGGAACCA